TATTTTACAACTTAAGCAAAAAGCTATTCTATTTATACAAAATTAATTTACTATGGCTAACTAATTATTACACTATAAACTAACTAAATTTGTAATTTCAAGTGCTAATATAATGATAATAATAATAACAGAGATAATAATTATAATAAAAATAACGATAATAATTAAAATAATAAAATTATAGGGAATTATGAAATTTAATAAACCATGATAATTCTGTGGATCCAGTAAATTCTAAGAATCCCAAGAATTCTATGGATTAGGAAAATCAGGAATTATATTTATCATCTAATTTCATGATCTACCTAAATTAATTCCAGTAACTTCTACAGATCATTTGATAGATCAACTTTTTAATATTGAATTTTTAGCCAGTAACAACATCTTTAATTGATATTATATCTTTCTTAATCTTAAATAATATTATATAATTTCTTAATAATTATAATAACTAACAATTATATTTTTCTTTTAAAAAATATTAATTTTACAAATAGTATATTTTTGATTAATTCTAATAATAAATATAATATATCTTTAAATATTTGATATTTCAATAAATTTATAATAATTATTATTCTATTTATTTTTTAGATAATTTTAAATATATATTTTTTTAATTTACCATTTTATTTAATCTTATTGATTTTATACTTTTTAGTTACTTATATCATTATATCTTTTTTTTTTAATTTTAGTCTTACTTTTTTTTTTGCTTTTTTTAAACTTAATATTTTATATATATAAATATTACAAACTTTTTTATTTGAACATATGAAATCTTTAAAGGAAATTACCAGAAAAATAAAAAATAAGTTAATACTAAATTTAAAAATATTTCAACTTAAAAATCATATTTGACATATAAAAGTAAAATTGATTTTTCCTAGCTTACTATTGCAAAAGTTTCATATTATATTTATATTATATATTGCAAACATTTAGTTTTATTTATTTATTTTTATATTTTAATTAATTAATTAATTATAATAATACTATAATTATTTTGAAAATTTTACTTTTAATTTATTTCAAATTACTTTTTTTATATTTAAATAAGTATTATAATAGTGATTCAATAAGGTTTTATTGTAATCATAATACTTAATCAGATTTCTAAAATTAAAGTAGTTAGTAGATAAAAATTAATTTAAAAAACTTATATATTAAGTTTATTAATTACAAATTGAGACATTATGAAAGAATTGCAATATTGCATCTATCATAATTATTGCAATTATTATAAATATTATATCTTTAAAAATTTTAATAATATTATAATTACAATTATTTCAAAATTTATAATAATAAATACTATCTTTATAGCTTGTATATTATATGAATTCTGCAATTCATTTGATATTTAAATATTTAATTTGAAAAAAATCAAATATAAAATCAAATTTATATTTGATTCAATTCTCTCAAATTCAAATCAAATATTCAAATATTTTATTTGATTTATATTAATAGTAATGCTAACTTCAAAGTTTTAAAGATTGTTTTAACTAAGAAAAGTATAGTAAAAAAGGCATTTATGACTTTAAAAATGTTATTTTACTAAAAAAAACATATTAAAAAACGCCTTTATGACTTTAAGATATTATTTTTTAAAAAACTATAATAAAATTATTTTTATAACTTTGAAACCATTTTTTACTAATAAAAAGATTCCAAAATTATAATAGTTTATTATTAAGTTTTCTTAGTAAAACTGAAATTTTATAGTTATTTTATCATATTTTTTTGTTTTTTTTAGTAAAACTAAAGCTACAGAGCTAATTTACTAAGCTTTCTTAATAAAATTAAAGTTATAAAGTTGGTTTACTAAGTGTTTTTTAGTAAAACTTTACCTGTTACTAAACTTTATAAAGCAACCTTTGAAATTTTTTAATGCATATTACTAATGATTTTCTTAATTAAAACTTTAGAATAACTTTATTTTAATATATTATTGTATAAATTAAAAATATTTAATTTGATTTGATTTGATTTAATTCGATTGATAAATATTTGTTTCAATTTGATTTAATTTAATTTGATTCTATCAAATATTTAATTTAAACTGATTTAATTTGATTCAATTAATATTTGAATTAAATTGATTTGATTTGATTCAATCAAATATTCAATTCAATTCAATTTAATTTAATTAAATATTTGATTTAATTTGATTAGATTTAATTAAATATTTGATTCAAATCAATTTTAAAAAAAAACTCAAAAATTATTATTTGATATATATACTAAAGAAAAATTATATTAATTCTTATACAGTAAACTTTTGAATAACAAACCTAAGGTCTGAATTTTAACTTATTATAAGTTTATAATAAATTTTAAAAAATTTAATTGGTTGGTTTACTATAGTAAGATATATTTAATATATTTGAATTAAAATTCACTATATCAAAGGTTTGCTATATCAAGATTTGATTGTATTTTTTGTTAATTGATACATTATCTTTAGCTACAATGTATAATGTAGTATCTTATTATTATTGATATAATCTACTAAATTCTTGTTGATTACTTTCTTACTTATGTAAGAAATTTTGCAGTATGAAACATGAGATTGTATTTATTACAGACAGCAAAGGCTAAGTTTCTATCAATTTTTAGCTTTATTTGTATTCACATATTCTAATATTTGCAGTATTTAGACATAATTAACATTGATTGATAGATTAACCAATTAGATTTATATGTATATTAGTATATTCTTATGAAAATTATAAAGTTTAATGCTTTAGCTTAAACCTGAACTGATAACTTATAGCTATATAATGAAACTTTTTACTATAAGAGACTCGTAGTTTAACCACTAAGCTAAAATTATCATATACTTAACATAACACTTATACTTATTTTTATTATTTTATATTTGTTCTATTATTTTTAATGAAATTATAATTTAATTTTAATATAATCCTTAAAAATTTACAAAGATCTATTTAGTATAATATTTTAATTGTAAGAATTTTTGATTTATAAAATCATTCTAAACTTACAATAATTATTATTCTTTAGTAAATAATTAAATAAATAAACAGAAAATTAATTTTATAATTTAAGTCAATAAAGTATAAAGATTAAGTATTTAATTTAATTAATATACTACTTTATATATAAATATTTTTAAATAACTTTATTAATGAAATTATTTTTATATATAAAATATAATATATAGAATAGAATATTAAAAAAAAATAAAAATATTAAGATATAAATTAATAAATAACAATATAAAATAAATAAATAAATATGTAATATAAAAGAAATAGGAAAAATATATAATATAAATAATGTAAAAAATATATATACTTTTAATCATTTTTGTTATTCAGATTATATAAAATTATTTTATATTTATAAAATACTTATAAATATTAAAAACTGATTGAACTTATACCTTTGGTATTCTTTATTTGCCTCTAAACATGATTCTCTTATTTCTATTCCATAATATCCAAATTGTTTAACATCATAAAGATAAACATTATTTTTAACTAAAGAATACCAAAATTGTAATATTTATTTAGCATCTATACATGTATAAGCTAATTCTTTATCAAATTCTGGATGAATTCCATCAAATATGTCTAATATTAAACTTGAATCATATTTTCTATTATAAAATGGAGGTCTTCATATGAAAGTTCAATCATAATTATATCAAGACTATAAATATCAGAAGCTTGAATATATGGTTTTCCCTTTAAGACTTCTGGATCAATATATGGTAATACACCATATATTCGATTACCTGTTTTTTCTTCTGATCGATTGGCCCACACAATCCAAAATCTGCAATATATGTATAGTCTTCATCTTTCCGCTATGAAAATCCTTATGACAATATCCTAAGGCATGTATAAAAGATCTTTAAATTTAGTTGAAAGGCAACTTCTCAAATTTCCCATTGTTGCAAGTTTCATAATCATAATAAATTCTTTTGTTTCTGGATCTTTAGTCATTCCAAAAAAATTTAATGCGTGTCCTCCGCTGGAGAAAGAATCTCTAACTAAACGAAAATGAGCTTTGAGCTAATATTTATCAATAAAATATTTATATTATTATAATTATTATAACCTTTTTTAAAAAAACATTAACAAAAACATCGATTGAAATATTCAGCTGACAAATTCTGTGAATCATTTAACTTTTTCAAAACAACTTCCATAGGTTTAGGATCTAATTTCTTCCAACTTCCGTCTCTTTGTTTTTCCATATTGCAGCATAGACTTTGGCAAAACCACCTACGCCGATTTGTTTTATATCAGTAAATCTATCTAAAGTCACCCATTCAAGGAATTCTGGAAATATTGAATCTTTAATTAATTTATCAATATCAGGATTTCCGCTAGTCCATCGCACTCTTTACACCATAATTTTTCAGTAAGTGATTTATTGCAATAAGGACAATTATTATTGAAGTATTTAATTTAGATTCTACTGCGATTTGAACTTCATCTTCATGGTTTTCTACATCCATTTTTTATTTATTTATTACCAAAAGAATCGTTTTTAATAGGTTATAATTAATATGAAAGTAAATTATTTCGACCGAATTTAAAAATTTCAAACGAATTTGAAAATTCCCCGTAACACAAGCTTATTGATTACAATGTATATTCTAATATTATATTATATTATGTCGTGTTTCGTTTTTATTAGTTTGTCGTTTATTTTTTTTAAAAAAAAGATAATCTTTTTAATCATTTTGTCTAACATTGTGTGCATTTGATATTAACCATAAAATTCAGGTTTCCTGGACAAAGCCCCATGAATTATTAACTTATTAAGAAAACACTTGCATAACATGACGAAATGAGGATCTGATATTATTTTAATCTTTTTCGATTATAAAATAACTCTCCACTGATTTATCTTATCTGACCCATTTTTTCTTCTTACCATACATTTTGTTTAACAACAAAAAAAAACCACTTGTAAGTTTCAATTCATTTTTTTTTTTCATAAATCGATTTTCCGCAGTAATGGTCGGTGTATGTTTTTTACGAACAACTACGTTCTTCAATATTGCACGATCTACTTCCTTTAGAACGTTGACAACCATGGTTAACCCAAAATGCTTCTTTGAGGTTGCTGCTGGCGGAAAGCATTTAGGTGTAAGTTTTTTTAAAGTTTTAACCTTATTTTTTTAACTTTGAACTATATTTTAAATAAAGAAAGGTATTAAATTTCAATAAATAAATTTCTTTTGTTTAGCGTATTGAATTTGAACTTAGAGCCGACGTTGTACCCCTTACAGGTAGATAAAAAATTTTTTACTTTTTGATACTATCGGCGCAGCTAATCTTCAGATTTTCTAATTAATTTTTTTAGCTGAAAATTTTAAAGCTTTATGTTCTGGAGAAAAAGGGTATGGATATAAAGGTTCCAAATTTCATCGTGTTATTCCCCAATTTATGCTTCAAGGCGGTGATTTCACCAAAGGGGACGGTACCGGTGGAAAGTCCATCTACGGTCAAAAATTTAAAGATGAAAACTTTGAATTGAAACATCAAGGACCAGGTATTAATTTTATTTATTTATATACTATTTTGTTATTCTGGCCTTTTATTAAATAATTGAATGATTAATTAGGTACCCTTTCTATGGCTAATTCTGGTGCAAACACCAATGGCTCCCAATTCTTTATTTGCACAGTTAAGACTTCTTGGTTAGATGGCAAACATGTTGTGTTTGGAACAGTTTCTAAAGGTTGTAATTTTTTTCTGATATACTTATTTACTTTCCCATTAAATTAAATTTAAATTTTTTTTGAAATAGGCATGGATGTAGTCTATGAGATAGAAAAATTGGGTTCATCCAATGGACAACCATCCAAAGATATTGTAATTGTTGACTGTGGTCAAATCAATGAATAATCAATGAATAATCATCTTAAATTTATGTTAACGACGATGATTATTTTTTTAAATAGGGCTAAATAAAACTAGAAAGATTTTAATTGCTGTCAAATAATTTTTTTCCTAGTAACATTGAATATTTAGTCGCTGCGTATATCATTTAATAAAGTGTTTTCAATATCAAAAATTATATTTGATTTATTGTAATTTCTAATTATTAATTATACAACCGGTGAAATAGATTACTATTATTAATTAGAGATTTAAAGTATTACGGTGTAAAAATTTGAAGTTTAGCAAATCGTTCAGCAACCTTTACTGCTTCATCAAGTTTATCAATATTTGTTCCACTCCCTTGAGCAGAATCATCTTTACCTCCAGACTATAGTAGTATATCAATTAATGCATAAAATTTAAAATTCAAAAATTTCAAAAAAAAAATATATATATATATAATATATAATAATATAATATAATTTTACCTTTCCTCCGACAGTTTCTGAAACAGTCTTGGCCCATTCACTAGCCTTTAGCCCCTTTTCAGTTAAAGGCTTACCTACACAACAAGAATGAGTGATTCTACCAGAACTTTCATCAACCGAAAAAATATATAAAGCTTTATCTTTTAAATTAGTTTTAACATGAGCAATAGCATTTGCAATAGCTTTTGTATTGGATCCAACGTCCAGCTTTTGAATTAGATAAGGATAATCTGGATTTTGTTCAAAATAAGTATTTATCGCGTCTATTGCCTAAATTATTTTGGAAAATTTAAAACTTCATTAAAATAAATAAATAATTAAATTTATATGGTAAAGATTATAATTTTAAATAAAAAACCTCTTTTGTTCGAGCAGCTTTCTCTGCTTTATCAGCTTCTATGAAAGCTTTCTTGAGACTTTGTATTTTTTCACGAAATTCCGCTTTTTTAAGAGCTGAAATACTTGATGCGTCAAGTTCTTTGGTTATTAATTTCAACGCGTTATCTAATCCGGTGCCTTTTAATTTTGATATTGTGTTGATTTTGATTCGGAACTCGTCAGCAATTCTTTGAGCCTATAAGAATAAAGTTTTGTCAATTTTGTGAAAAAAAAAATTTTTTTAATCGAGAATATACAAAATGTATATTAATGTTAACCTGTTGTGCCTCTTCTCCCGTGACAGCAACGATCCTGCGAATACCTTTGGCGATACCTGATTCTTCCAGGATAATAAAGTATTTGATATCACCTGTTTTCGCGACATGTCTTCATAATAAATCAAACTATTTATAAACCCACTTAAAATAATAAAATCAAACAGTTGACAAATTTCACGCAAAACTTACGTTCCACCACAAAATTCTATTGAAGTTTCTCCCCATTTAGGATTAGAAACATCAGTCACTATATCTTTTACGTCGTATCCAATAGAAACAACCCTTACAGGATCTGGATAAACTTCACCAAAAACAGCACGAAGTCCATGTATTGCTTTAGCAGTTGGTAATGGAAGGTCTTTAGAATATACCTTGTGATTTTTTTTTATAAATTCGTTTGAAATTGATTCAATTTTAGAAAGTTCATTATTCGCAACACCTTTCTATTTTAAAAAACAAGAATACAAAATTATTACACCACATTCCTAACGAAAAAAAATATTTAAACTATAATAATAAAGAAATTACTTTAAATGAAAAATCAAATCTTAATTTTTCTGGTGCAACAAGAGATCCTTTTTGATCAATAGAATTACCCAAAACTTCACGTAACGCATAGTTGAGAATATGTGTAGCTGTGTGATTATTTCTCAACGGCCATCGTCGTAACTTAACAAAAATATATATATATATATATAAATTATTTGATTAGTATAAAAATATATAAGAAACTCTATAAATTAATACTTACTTCATCATAAGTGGCAACAATTTCATTATCAACATTTAAGTTTCCATATTTTAAATAACCAATGTGCAAGACATAACCACCAAAAACTTGCACATTTTCAACGACAAATTCAGCCTGTCCGTCTATAGTAATAGAACCAGTGTCGTATGTTTGACCTCCTTGTTCAGCATAGAAATTTGTACGATCAAGAAGAATACCAAAACTTTTATCGGAAGGTATATCGTTAGAAGATTGAAGGAATGTATGATTATAGTATATCGCCTTAATCGTAGCATTTATATTGCCGCTTTCTTAGTAAAGAAAAGGACGAGATATAATTATAATCTAAATATTATTTATATACGACAGTTGAATAGAATTATATATAATATTTTTAAATACAAACGGTATTTGAAAGAATCATCAGTTGTTGAAATTATTTTCTCCACTTCAATTTTTGCGAGGTCATGCATGTCCAATGCGACAACTACTTGATCATTACCACCAGAAGAACGAGCGTTACGACTTAGTGCCTTGGCCCTTTCTTGTTCTCTTATGAATTCCTGATCATCAACTCCAAGTCCGTTTTCTTCGGCCATAAGGCGTGTCAAATCAACTGGGAATCCATATGTATCATATAATCGCCATACATCAGTTCCAGGAAGCAATCCTGCATTGGCTTGCTTAGCTTTTTGGAGATATGTATCAAAGAGTTTTTCTCCACGATCTAAAGTTCGAGAAAATGATTCTTCCTCTTCATCAAGAATTTCTTTAACATCAGTGACGCGCTGCGTTATCTCAGGGAAAGCTACTCCCTGAAAAATATCGACAAAATTTTTTCCAAAGTATCTTTTCATTAGAATGATATATTTCAAAATGTTAGTCTCTCAAGATTTACCACATACCATTTCATTAACAACCGTGTCAACTAAACTGGAAAAGAAATGACCAATTTGTACATTAAATTTTTTTCGAGCATAACGTGCACCACGTCTCAAAATTCGCCTTAAAACGTAACCACGACCCTCATTGCTCGGTACACCACCATCGGTAATAGCAAAAGTCAAAGTCCTCACGTGATCTGCAATTACGCGATATGCCATATCCAAACCATCCGTGTCATCTGCTCCTAGTTTACCTGAATAAGGTCTAGCTCCAGTTAACTCTTGTATTTTATTAAATAAAGGTGAAAATATGTCTGTATCGTAGTTTGAAAATTTATTTTGTAAACATGAAACGACACGTTCCAATCCCATTCCAGTATCAACATGTTTACTAGGTAATGAACGAAGTAATCCATCTGATTCGCGGTTAAATTGAATAAATACTAGATTCCAAATTTCTAGTACACTAGGATCATCCTTATTAACCAAATGAGATGCGTCACGACCACCAATACGATCAAAATGAATTTCAGAACATGGCCCACAAGGTCCAATTTCGCCCATCTCTGTGATGACAATATAAATTAATGAGAATAAAATTCCAACCATTAAATTATGATACATTGAACTTACCCCAAAAATTATCCTTGGAGTTTCCACGAATCAATCTCCCTTCCTCGATTCCAACATCCAGCCAAAATTGCTTTGCTTCTAAATCAGCAGGTAAACCTAATTTTTCATCACCTTCAAAATAGGTTACATAAAGACGATCTTTTGGAAGTCCATATACTTTGATTAAAAGTTCCCATGCCATGGTAATAGCCTCTTTCTAAAAAAAAAAAAAAAAAAAAAAAAAAAAAAAAAAAAAAAAATTTTAAAAAAAATAATAAAAAAGATAATGAACCCTTATTTACATTTTTTGGCTCTCACCTTAAAATAATCTCCGAATGACCAATTTCCCAACATTTCGAAAAATGTATGATGGTAGACATCTTTTCCAACATCTTCTAAATCATTATGCTTACCACCTGTAAAAATAAGAATTAATCAGAAATCGACATCAAAAATAAATATGACCATACGTTGGTTATCTAAAATTCGAATATATACCTGCACGAATACATTTTTGACTATTAACCGCTCTTTTCAGTTTACCAAATTCTGAATTTGGATCAATAGTGGCCAAAAATATTGACTTGAATTGATTCATTCCTGCATTAGCAAATAATAAGGTAGGGTCGTCGAAAGGAATAGTTGAAGAGGAAGGGGTGTGTTTATGGCCTTTTGACTCAAAGTATGAAATAAAAGTAGATCGTACTTTATTAGCAGTCCAGTTAATATCATTGCGTGTACTTGCTTGCGACATGTTTAAATTGTGAAAGCACTTTAAACACTTTGAATAACGAAAAGGAAAATAATTAAACTTTGATAGAAAAGAACGCGAAGTTTGATTAAACATTTTGATTGATTCCGTTTTTTATAAATGAATGGATCGTCCAATAGAAGCTTTATGAACATGAACCTGAGTCATAATTAATCAGCATGGCAGACATTTGTATGATTGGTCAATTTTTATGTAGATCATTTCCTAATTATCAATGAGGTGATTAATTTTG